ATTTTTTTTGATTTATTGTATAGATGATGTCTCGCCAAGTTGCCCAGGTGGGTCTCGAACCCGCGGGCTCAGGCAATCCACTCACCTCAGCCTCCCAAGGGGTGGGATTACAGCCTGAGCCACCAAGCTCGGCTTACTGTTTTTTTTTTTTTAAGTCAGAGTCTCACTCTGCCACCCAAGCTGGAGTGCAGTGGCATGCTCACGGCCACCGTAACCTTGACCTCCTAGGCTCAGGCAATCCTTCTACCTCAGCCTTCCAAGTAGCTGGAACTGCAGACACACTGGCTAATTTTTGTGATTTATTGTAGAGATGAGGTCTCACCAAGTTGCCCAGGCTGTTCTTGAATTCCAGGGCTCAAGCAATCCTCTCGCTTCGGCCTTCCAAAGCGCTGGGATTATAGGCTGAGCCACCATGCCCAGCCCGGGTGTACTTTCACACCTTTTTTTTTTTTTTTTGAGTTGCAGTCTTACTCTGTCGCCCAGACTGGAGTGCAGTGGCCGCTCCCGGCCACTGCAGCCTCGACCTGCTGGGCTCCGGTGATCCTTCCACCTCAGCCTTCCAAGTAGCTGGAACTATAGGCGCGCACTACCACGCCTGGCTGATTTTTGATTTATTGTAGAGATGAGGTCTCGCCAAGTTGCCCAGGTGGGTCACAAACACAAGTTTTTTCAAGTTGGGGTCTCACTCTGTCGCCCAGGCTGGAGTGCAGAGGCACGATCACGACTCACTGCAGCCTCAACCTCCTGGTCTCAGGCGATCCTCCCACCTCAGCCTCCCAAGTAGCTGAGACTACAGGTGCATGTCACCATGCCCCGCTAATTTTATTATTTTTGTAGCGACCAGGTCTTGCTATGTTGCCCAGGCTGGTCTCAAAGTCCTGGGCTCAAGCGATCCTCTCGCCTCATCCTCCCCAAGTCCTGGGATTACAGGCATAAGCCCCCACGCCCCACCCAGCTGGGAGTCCTAGGCGTGCCGCTCAGGCTTGGACATCATGGCATCATTTGTGGGGGGTGCTGTTTGTGCAGGTGTCATAGGGGAGTCCAACTCCTCCTGAGCCCACGGAGTGTGTTGTCTGAGGGATCATCTGGCATTAAGCTGTGGATTCTTTGCAGCGAGCCTGTCTGTTGCTGTGTGTGTCTGTGTCGCTTTCTTGGCTCAGTTATCCCGAAAGGCTCCCTGCAAGGTGGCTGTGCCTGACCTTCCTGCAATGCAGGTCAGCAGTGCCCCCTGGTGGGCAGAAGGGACAGCGACCCTGTCGGTTTTTATCCATTCTTGCCTTCAATCACCATTTGGGTAGACCAGGGCTTCTTAGCCTCGGCAGGATGGCCCTTGGGGCAGGACGGTTACTTGTTGTGGGGTCGTCTTGTGCACTGGAGGAAATCTGCTGGCGTCCTCGGTCTCTGTCCACTAGATACAAGTGGCACCCCACCCACTGTGAAACCAAAATGGCTCCTGACATTGCCCACGTCCTCCGGGAGCGAAACCGTCCCCTGTCGAGAATTGATTTAGGCCAGTGAGTGTCAGTCTGACTGTCTCAGCCAGGTGACAGGGGAACAGCGGGGGGTGAGACATATGCTCCCTGCTCCCCGTGGAGCTGACGGTCCCGGGGGAGACACAAGCAAGGAGACAAAAGCACAAAGGAGCAACAGGGGGATTCAGTGCTACTGGGTGGCAGGGCTGGGGTGAGGTGGCTGCGTCAGCGGTGAGGGCGGGGAAGGTCTCTCTGAAGAGTGAGCCTCAGGCAGGAAGAGGGGCCAGTCACGGGAAGGCAGGCGAGGAAAGTTCTGGTCCAGGGAACCAGCAGTGCCAAGGCCCTGAGACAGGGAGGAGCCAGGCCTGAGCACGCGTACTTAGACGCTGGCCAGCGGAGGGGTAACGGCCAGGCTCAGTGCTTTCCACAGGGCGGAAGGGGAAGAGTGTTGGAGCCCCCGGGGCTGGCAGAGGTGGAAGGGGGCCCAGCGTGTGTGTTGGGGGCAGGACTGCCTGGGCGGAGCTTGGTGTGAGTGGATCGCAGGGCGGGCCTGGCCTGGGCCTGACGGGACACGGGTGGACACAGAGGCCCGCCGACTGGGCCTGCCTGCAGCCTGATGTCTGTCCCCCCGCAGCGCTGGCAAGACCTCAACGTGATCAGCAGCCTGCTCAAGTCCTTCTTCCGGAAGCTGCCGGAGCCTCTTTTCACGGATGGTGAGTAGGCGATGGAAGCGGGGGTGAGGCACTCCAGTCTGTGCTGCACCCGGCCCTCCTTTTTGGTTTGTTGACTTTACTTTTGGCTTTTTTTTCTTGATTTGTTTTGTTTTAGAGACAGAGTTTCGCTCTGTCACCCAGGCTGGAGTACAGTGGAACCATCATGGGTCACCCCAGCCTCAACCTCCTAGGCTCAAGCACTCTCCTGCCTCAGCCTTCCGAGTAGCTGGGACTACAGGTGTGCACCACCACACCTGGCTAATTTTTTTTTTTTTTTTTTTTGAGTTGGAGTCTCACTCTGTCACCCAGACTGGAGTGCAGGGGCCACTCCCGGCCACTGTAGCCTCGACCCACTGGGCTCCAGCAATTCTTCCACCTCAGCCTTCTGAGTAGCCAGAATTACAGGCACACGCTACCACACCCGGCTGATTTTTTATTTATTGTAGAGATGAGGTCTCACCAAATTGCCCAGGAGGGTCTTGAACCCGTGGGCTCAGGCAATCCACTCACCTCAGCCTCCCAAGGCGTGGGATTATAGGCTGAGCCACCGAGCCCAGCTCTGGCTAATTTTTAAATTTTTTATAGGGAGAGGGGGTCTCACTATGTTGCCCAGACTGGTCTTGAACTCTTGGCCTGAAGCAATTCCCCTGCCTCTGCTTCCCAAAGTGCTGGGATTACATGTGACCACTACAGCCTGGCCTGGTTTTTTTTCTGTTTTTTTTTTTTGGAGTCTCACTCTGTCACCCAGGCTGGAGTGCAGTGGCACATTCATGGTCACCCCAACGTCGACCTGCTGGGCTCCGGCGATCCTTCCAAGTAGCAGGAACTACAGGTGCACGCTACCACACCCAGCTAATTTTTTATTTTATTGTAGAGATGACTCACCAAGTTGCCCAGGCTGGTCTCAAACCCGCAGGCTCAGGCAATCCACTTGCTTTGGCCTCCCAAAGTGCTGGGATTATAGGCTGAGCCACCAAGCCTGGCCTCTTTTTTTTT